GACGTGCCCGACGCGGCCGCAGCGGCCCCTGCCGCCCCGTCGGCTCCGGCGGCGCCGCAGCGCGTCACGGCGCTGCAGGACCCCCTGCTGTCGGCGGCCGCCTACCGCCCCGGCCTCCGCGCAGACCTCTCGCGCATGCTGTCGACGCTGCAGGTCGCGCGCGGCTTCATGGCGCGCGGCAACCCAGAGGGCGCCTTCAAGGCCGCCGCGCAGGCCGGCGACCCCGCCGCCGCCGCGATGCTGCTCGAGGCGCTGCAGGGCCGGAAGGACTGCTTCGAGCTCGCGGCGGCCGAGGCGCTCGCGCGGGCGCTGGAGGTCTGCCTGTCCGGCGGCCCCGACCACGAGCACGCCGCCAGCGTCGCGCTCGGCGCGCTGAGCCTCGCGCTGCGCGGTCCCGGGCAGGTGATCCGCGAGACGCTCGCGGCCAGCACGGTCGGGGTGGACCTCAGCTTCGAGGCGCGGCGCGACAAGTGCCTGCTGGCGAAGCTCGCGCTGCAGGGGTTGGGGTTGAAGCTCGGGGTGCTGGCGCGCGGCGCGGGGCCGCTGGCGGCGCGTGCGCAGCAGGTCGCGGCGGAGCTGCGGGCGCTGGACTGACGCGGCGGCGGCCACGGGCGATAGCGGTAGCGACGGGGGCGGCGGCCGAGGCAGTGGGTTGGGAGAATTCCCATGTGCTGCCTGCTGCTGTGATCGGGCACTGCCGCGTGCGTGAGGGTGAGCCGCCTGCCCATGTTACAGGTGTAGGGAGCGGTTTTGGTGGGTGACGGTGGCGCCTCTTGGCTCTGCAGCTTCCCTGAGCTCTGGCGTGGCTGAGGCGTTGCTTTGGAGCCCCTGGCCTCGCCCAGTTGGCGCTGCACCCTCAGCTAGCTCGTGGCTGGCAGGCGTAACCCCGCCAGCACTGTGGCAGTTTTGCGATGGTCCCTGGTGGCGCTGTAGGGTGCCCAAAGGGTTGTTTTGGAATACCAGCTCTGTAATCCTCGTCAATGCACACATCATTTAGGGGTCGTGCACCTGCCTTGCTTTGTGGGTGCAGGCGCTCCTCTGGTAGCTGTGCGTTTCCAAGCTGCTCGGTTTGACAGCTGCTTGAGCTGCATCACAGCCTTGTGCCTCGTGCGATCTGAGAGAGCCCTGCATGAGCAGCTGCCCAGCTTTCCAGCACAGGCGATCCAATTCAGTGTACCACCAGCGTTCCATGAAGGTGGTCCCTGTGCGGGAGGGCGCCGCCAAGCACCCTTGCAATCGAATGTGATCGTTTTGGCTGATGTCGTGCACATGTCACTGTCCTTGACTGCACTGTCAAGGAAGGGGGCGCGCAGGACGCGCTGGCTTGTCAGTCGGCGGGCGACTCCTATCTGTCCCCTAAAGGAATGCATGCGTTAGACGCATGTTGTCCCCAAGAGGCGTGTGCTCGCTGGCTCACCAGGCAGGTGACGTGACCGCTGACCAGGGGGCAGTGCCGCAATCGCCTTCAAGCAGAGATGAGGCTGTCAAACGCAATCATGGATGTTACTTGTATCAGCAATACGTGACGTTCTCTCGTCGCGCCTGCGTGGATTGCGACACTGCCTATTGTTGCTCGTGGAGCCAACAACAATGACGCAAATAGGTCCTGTGCATAAGGAGCAGCAGGATTGGAGCTTGAGTCACCGGAATCACCAGCCTGTTGACCTCACGGCAGCGCTGCAACCGGCACTGCATCACTCGGCTCCCCCGCTGCACCGCCGCCTGCTGCGCGCTTTGGGGGGCCTTGCCAGGCGCGAGCAGCTGGACGAACGGGAGCATGGGCGCGCAGCAGGCGGTGACAGCAGACAGCAGCAGCACGAGCCGCGGCTGCGCGAGCGAGCGGGCGGAGCGACGGAAGGCGGCAGCGACATGCTTACATGTGTGCTCGGCTCTACGCCGCAACTTGCATCAACCGAGGTTTTGGATACGAACCGTCGCCACCTCCCCGAGCAGCTGGCACAGCAGCAGCAGCAGCAGCAGCACCAGCACCAGCAGCAGCAACAGCAGCAGCACCAGCACCCGCTGCGGCGGGCGCTGCGATGGGCCCTGCGAGGACTGAGGGCGGCGGCGCGCAGAGCGAGGCCACAGGGCTGTGGCCCGAACGACGCCGTGTTTGGCGAGCGCGTGGCGAACGTGATTACGTCCATACCATTTGTCATCCTGGGCTCAGGCATATTCAGGTGGGCTTGGTGACTTTTCTGAGTCAGCATTCCATACTCAATGCAGTGTGTACTCGAGGCAGTGGGTTTCCCATGCAATACGTCCTATCGATGCATGGCTGTGTAATACGCGAGCGAGCAACCCCATGTGCTCGGCTGCTGTCAAGGCCACTGCACTTGCAGGTGGCACACTCGACAGCGGCACGCTCGACAGCGTAAGAGAGTGCCGCCGGCCCCCTCCCTTGTCCCCCTCAACCCTTGTCCCCCTCAACTCGTCCCGCAGGAGCGGCGGCGCCGCGTGCCGCCACTTTGGCGCAAGCTTCGTCAGCTGCGGCGTCATCGCGGCGCTGTACCACGGCTGCCCGCCCGGCGCCGCGCGGCGGCTGCTGCGCAAGCTTGACTACTGGAGCATCTGCTACACCAGCAGCGTCCTGCGCGGCGCGGTCGGCGCCCGCGCGCCCCGCGCGCTCGGCGCCGCGGCCGCGCTCGCGACGCCGCTCAAGCCGATCCTCGTGATCGGCTGCAACCTGCTGGCCATCGAGGCCCGCTTCGTCGCGGCGGCGGTGCGGCACGCGGCGCTGCGCGGCGCGCTGTGCCGACACGCGGCGGCGGCCGCGGCGGGGGTCGCGGCGTTCTTGATGGACGACATTCTGGTTCTGGAGAAGGGCTTTGCACCCGTGTTTCACCCAGCATGGGTGAGCAGGCAGAAGCGCGGGTATGGGCGCGCTGTGGGGCTTGTCACGCTGGGGCGCAGAGCGCCTGCGCGCGCTGCCTAGGGCCAGGGGTTTGCGGTTCTCTGTCAATTGCTGCCGTGAACTTGCACGCCTGCCGCCCCCAGGGTTCGCCACCCTTGCCACCGCGAACGCCGTCTCGTCGCCTGACAAGCCGCACTTGCGTTCATGCCGCGCGCCCCTGCCTCACACTCCTTCAACAGCACGTGCTGTCGTCTGTAAGCCTAGCGCTGTTGTCGCCGCTGCTGGTGCACTGCGAGGGCCCGCCGCTGCTGGAAGGGGCGCAGGCGCTGATCAGTGGCGCCCCATAGCACGGCGACCAACTGGGCCGGCCGGGGCCGGCCGAGCACCAGGGCTTGTGCACTGGTGGCTGTTTGTGCTGCCACTCACGCCTGACGCGGCTGGGTTGCCATAGGTTTGACTGCTTCCCGCTTCCCAAATGTTTATGTTGACCAGCATCCCATGGGTTTGTCTGATGCTGGTCATCTGCACACCATTTTGCTTGCGTCAAGGTCAACTCCCACCACAGCGCCCAGTCCAAGATTATGAGCTGTCTGTGCAGTGTTGTATCAGCAGCCCCGCTTCGTGCGCTGCAGGCTGCGTCAGTGACGGGGGGCCTTGCCAGATTAGTTTTTTTACAACAACGCGCGGTGGCCTCTGGATGCATCATGTGTTTCCCTTATGCTGTTTGTGCCGTCGGTTGTGCTGGGGGCCTGGGCCGGGCTGCCTGTGCACCGGCCGAGAACGCTGCCTACGACCACGGCGGGAGGCGAACGTGCAATGGGTTGTGGTTTCTGCGGAGCGCAAGGCCCAATTTTGGCTCCCTCAACTCGGGCCGAGATTGCATGACAGCAATTTTGGAGCGATGCCAGTTGCACCTGAGGCCTGTCTCAAGAGAGCAGTCCAACAACCAGGCAGCAAGCGCAGTCAAGCCCTGCTGTACAATCTTCATACTGGCTTCGAGTATCCTCCTGTATTGGTGCTGGACCAGCGCTGCGCTCTGCTTGTAATGATTAGGTTTCAGGGGACACAACGTCAAGGTGGGCAACGCGGACCCTACGGCAAGTCCCACGCATGTGGGATTTGGCAGTCTACACCTCGTGAGCAGCCAGGGCTACAGAGAACGGGCGGGATTTTGAAGCCGTTGCAAAATTTGTGAACAGAATGCCCAGCCCGTCACTCCTGGCTAGCCCTGTTCTGGCTTTGTGGTATCTGAACTTTGACCACAACGCTGACCGGCAGCCCGCTGGTTTGTACAAGGTACAGTACCCTGATTGCAATAACGGCAGCTCTCTCTGCATGCACCCGTGCTCGCGACGCGCTCACCTGTCAGCTGCTAAATGCCTGAGGCCCACATTCGGCGCGAAGTGGTCCCAGTGACACCGAAGTGCAAGTGACCCGTGCGGCACTGACAAACGCAACGTGAAGCCTTGCGCGTCCCGTGGCTCACTATATGAGCGCGTGCCATATCTACTTACCTAACCAACTGCTACACTGCGCTGTACGCGACGTGTGGATCGATTGCATCGTTGAACACGACCATGGATGGGCTAAGGCACGCCGTGCACACGGCTTACGTCAAGGTGGCTGAGGCGACACTTGCACCCCTAAGCCAGTCCAAATTCGAAGAGAAGCGGGTGAGATCGAGTACCGAACCACCCCGTGCGCCCTCATTGCATGTGAGGCGGGCAGGCAATCAATCTGAAAGAAATCCTTTGTAGGTACTGACGCCTCAGGAGTTCGTCGCGGCGGGGGACTACCTCGTGCGCGCGTGCCCGACCTGGTCGTGGTGCGCCACTTGCTGCGTCCCTGCATGCATGCTGGGAGAAAGATGTTGCGAGCACTATCGCTGCGCAGTGAATCTGCCGCTAGCTAAGTATACCACCACCGGACCAGAGCGGCAGAACGGGTGCTCGGAGGTGATGCCCCGGTCAACGCATGCGCAAGTAGGCTGCAACACTGACAGCACGCCACTGCAACCGCGAGCAGCGCTGTCATTAAAACGTACCGCGCCGCTGCTGTGCGCTCCAGGGAGAGTGGCGACCCCGGCAAGGCGCGTCCCTACTTTCCGAAAGACAAGCAGTTCCTTATCACACGCAACGGTGAGCGGCGGCAGCGGCGGCGGCGGTGGCAGTGCAGTCGAAGCTGACGCGCCGCGCCGGCTTCGACAGCAGCAGCGTGGCGGCGGCGGTAGTGGCGGCGGCGGGGCGCAGCTGGCGGCACTGGCGCCAGTCAGCAGGGGTCTGTACACGGCTGCCTGGCGCTGCGGCCGGCCGGCGCGCTGCTGTCCCTCACTTCTTGCTGCGTGCCGCCCTCGCATGTCAAGCAGGCCCCGCAGTATCAACAACACCAGCTGGAGCGACTATGGAATGCAAACAACCTGCAATCCCCTGCCGTTCCCTGCGCCCCCGCCTCCCCCGCCCCCAGTCCCCTGCCTCAGCCGCGCGGCCGACTTGGAAAGATACGACCCCCAGAGCGAGTTCGCCCTCGCCGGCGACGAGGACGGGTGGACCGCCACACACAGGGACCCGGGGACGGACGCGGCGGCTGCCGGCGGCGGCGGCGGCGACGACGAGGGTATACCCTCGTTGGACGAGGATGCTGAGGCAGCGGCGCCGGCGGCCGCGGCGGGTAAGGCGGGGGCGGGCACGCGTGTACTGGCAGGGGCGCGAGCCGCGGCGGCTCCACCTTGTTGTGGGGGGACAGCGTTCAAGGCATGCTCTTGCCCGCGGGGCGCAGCTTGACTCAGGGACGCCTTGGCAGCGGGTGGGCGCCTTGTGCAGAGGGGCGCACAGATGCGCTTTGGTTTAGCTCCCATCATGCACATTGCGTCGATGCGCCCCTCGCTGCCCCGCTTATCCCTTGACACCCTCGTCGTCATTCGCAGGCGGCGGTGACGACGACGGCATCCCCGACATTGAGGACCTCGACCTGGAGGACGGGGATGAGGTGGGCGACTGACCTGATCTGATCTGATCTGATGTGATCTGGCTGATGAACTGACGCAGAGCAGCAGGGATCGCGGCTGTTTGGTTGCGTGCTGGAGTGGACAGCGTCACGGCAGTAATCCCCTCAAAAAGGTGTACTTGGTTGTGCTGACATCAGCACACCTCCCACCCTCCCACCCTATGAAAGGCCGCGGTGCCGTCGCGCCCGGCGACGGCGGCGGCGCCCGGCGGCGCGGAGGCCGCGGCCAGCGGCAGCGGGCGGGGCGCGGCGGGCGAGGGCTCGGCCATCAGGCGGACGCGGACGTACGATTTGTACATCACATATGACCAGGCGCGCGCTTGGACTGTACCGCTGTGCAAGCAAGCTGGGCCGCCTCTGCAGCCGCTGCCGCCGCTGCTGTTGGCCGCCAAACGAGGAACGACCTGTCCCCTTTCTGCCGGTCGTGTCTCCTCTCAGCCCGCTTGTTAGCGCATGCCATGTGCCAAGTATTCCCAGCGTGGCGACACGAAAAAAAAACTGCTGACGACCCCCGGTACCCCCCCCCCCTTGCCCTCGCCCCACCCCTTGAAACGGCGCGCCCCACAGTATTACCAGGTGCCGCGGTTCTGGCTTGTGGGGTACGACGAGGCGAGGCAGCCGCTGAAGCCAGAGCAGGTGGCCGTGTTGGGCGCCAGCGGGGGCGGTCGTGTGCATGGGGCCAGGGCGTGGCGTTGTGCTCAGGGGTCCTGCGGGGTGGGATGGCTGTTTGTGTTCTCAGCTATCCTCCTGCAGGGCTGGAGTTTGGGGCGGAGGGCCACGCGTCCATGGGTGTGCCTCTCGAGCCGCCCCCCAGCGCGCCTGGCGCGGCCCATGCTACCTCCTGCCTCTCCCCCATCCACATGATCCACTAGGCTCCACCTCAGCCCTTTCGCCTGCCCCCCCTCCATTCCCGCACACCCCCCTCCATCCCCGTATGCAAACCCCCCCACCAACCCCCTCAGCCTCTCTAAGCCCCCCCTTTATCCCATCAACCCCAACCCCCAAAGGTCCTTGATGACGTCAGCGAAGACCACGCCAAGAAGACCGTGACGCTGGACCCCCACCCCCACCTGTCCGTCAGCGCCGCCTCCATCCACCCCTGCCGCCACGCGGAAGTCATGAAGAAGCTGGCGGACAACCTGGTGGAGGCGGGCAGGGAATTCAGGGCCGACCAGTGAGCAGCGGTGCAGGCGGTTGCGAGCTTGCGTGCGTGTGCGTAATTGTGTGTCCATGTGTGTGTGTGTATGTGTATGTGTTTGTGTGCGCGCATGTGCATGAGCTTGTGCACGTGCATGTGTGTGCGCTTGGTGATTTTGTTTGGTGAGGGTCCTGGAACACATGAGGCGTTGCAGCATGGGCAGGTAAGTGCGGGGATATGAGAAGTGCGTGCGGCTTGTTGGTTGGTTGGGCCTTTATGCGTTGGTGTTGCGCGCTTTTGCAGGACGCGAGCAAATGTGCGTGTGCAAGTATCATGTGTGTTTGAAAATGTTGCTCCGCAGGCTGGACGTTTCAATAGGGCACCTCACATTGCAGGTGTTGTGGATGCCAAGCGACATTGGCCGCGCCGCAATACCCCATTCCCTTTGCTTGAGAGCAGGAAGCCCTGCACGCACTCTGCCCCACTCCCTCCACCTGCCACCTCGACCGCCCTCAATGCAGGTATCTGGTGCTCTTCCTGAAATTCATAGCATCAGTCGTGCCTACCATACAGTACGACTACACCATGAGCGTCGGCGGCGAGTGACACCAGGGGACACGTTGTGAGGCATTGCGACTCGTCACGAGCGCACGCGCCCACCGTGCACCCACGGTTGGCACCTCCGCCGAGAGTTGGCACCTCTGCGCAACTCCATGCCGCCCGCGTGTTGTCCCCCTCGACCTGACGGGCAGCCCACTGGCCAGTGGTCAACCATCATTGCATTTCCAGTGCAGGTCTCCTGCGCCCCCTGGCCGCACGTATGCTGCTGCTGGCCGTCATGACTCAAATTGAGGCCACTGATTGCTGCTCCAGCAAGGGGCGGCAGCGCAAGGCCTCTGCTTCGTGTTTATCTTTGGGTAAAAGCAAAAACACCCTGCACAGTCCTGGCCTTGAAGCTGGCCGCGTCACCTAAACAGAAAGCTGGGCTCGACTGGCGGCAGGGGAAGGGCGCTGAGGTGTGTTGGGCCGCAGCTGCAGGGCTGCCGATGCTTGCGGGCCGCCGCGGGAGCCGTACTGTCATGCATGTGGCTGCGTAAGAGTGCAGGGGCCACTGATAGCGATTTCCGCATGGCAAGCCCAACAGAAACCTCCCACTTTCATACTCGGGCGTACGTGTGTGCGGCTCGCCTGCTGTGGGTGTCAGCAGGTGCACTGGTGCCCTTGCCTACCCCCTCGCTCCTACGTCCGATATGCAAAGTGCTCAGTGGTGTATCCGATGAGTCATGAGTTTCTGAGGCCATCCTAGAATGTATCCCGTATTTTTCACATTCCTGGGCTCTTCAGCTTGTATCATCAAATTGTTGCAACTCTTTGTTGCTGAACACAACACCAGGATTGCAGCGCCACTACGTCCACAAGCAAGCAAAAAAATGCACGTTTGAATGAAAGATGACAGCTGGCGCGACAGCGCGACGCAACCAGCAGCGCACGCAGAAGGGCGGAAAGCAACCCGCGGCAAACAAACAGGGGCCGCAGCAGCGAAAAATCAGCCAGCACGAACTGGACAAGCAAGGGCCGCCGCACCCCCGAGGGGGAGACCAAAGACATTTTACACCACAATTTCACCAACCGGCGGGCCTTGGGCCCCGCCCGTCACCCGCCCGGCGCCGCCGCGCTGGCCGCCAGGAACGAGTCCAGCTCCCTTATCACCCGCGGCCCCAGCTGCTGCGCGGTCTCAAGCATCTCTATCAGCACCGCCTGCCCGATGCCGCCGCCCCCCGCCTTGCTGCTGCCAGCAACGCGCCCCTGGGGGCCGACCGCGACGTGAAGCACCGCCGAGGCGCAGGGCTCCTCCTCCGCTGTTAAGTCGGCCACGCAGCGGCTGCCGATCTGCGGCAGTCGCCATCGGGGTTCAGGGCGCAGCACGTGCGCGCGTGTTGAAACGGAGGCCATGCGCTGCCCTGCCCTGTGAGGGCTCAGCCCCTTCCGGGCACGAGCGCAGCACCGCAACGCGCGAAACACACCGCCAACGAGTGAACCGCTGCCTCGCTGCAAAGCTGCCTGTTGCGGCCGCACATCTCCGCCTTGCAGACCTTGTCGTCACAATACGCGGAACACAACCACATCAGAAGCGAACGGCACGCGTCACAGGTCCACACATCGGCAGGGTCCGCGCAGCCCACCTGCCCCAATGTGACGATGACGGGCAGGGTGGTGACGTCCAGGGGTGTCCCCTCGCTGTCGTCCCCGAGCTCTATCTCAGGCTCGTCGTCTTCGCCCTCCCCCATGGTGACCTCCACCTGAATTCAAATGTGTGTGTGTGTGTGTGTGTGTGTGTGTGCTTTGTGTGTGTGTATGTGTGTGTATGTGTGTATGTGTGTGTGTGTGTGTGTGTGTGTGTGTACGCACGCGAGCGATGTGTTTCTGAATTCATGTGTGCGCGCGCGCAAGCGCTTGTGTGCATGTGCGCGTCTGTCCCTCTGTGTATTTGTGCGTGTGTGAATGTGTGTGCGCGTGTGGGGAAAGCCTCCACGTTCGGTGCATCTGCAAGATTCTTGCACGTTTTAGTGTGTCTGTGCGTGCGTGCGCCCTCGCAACGCAGCGCTGTTGTGTGATCGACACTGCAAACGCACAGGCCACCTCTGCTCCGCACAGCGGCGCCCCAGCACCTCGCTTGGCCCCCCCCCCCCCCCCCCC